CTATTTTGTATATTTTTTATATAGTGACAGTCTATTTTGTATATATTTTGTATAGTGACAGTCTATTGTATATTTTTTGTATAGTGACAGTCCATTTTGTATGTTTTTTGTACAGTGACAGTCTATTGTAAATAAATTGTATAGTGACAGTCTATTTAGTGTATGTATGTATGTGTATATATATATATATATATATATATATATATATATATATATATAAAAAATTAATTGAAAAGTAAAGTTTGGTCAAAGCCAATATGTTACCACATTTTTGTATAAAATTAGGGAAAAAACGTGCAAGGATATTATAGCTTGAAAAGGCCAAAGGAGAAGGAGATTGTTTAGGAAATAATTGATTGCATTTTATATTGATTTTTTTTCTGTTACCCTAAATAAGGATAGTCTCTTATTTTTGGGTGTTTCGTTTAATAGGAGACTGCACTATTATGGAATATTTAGAATCAGTTTCCTAATTTGTAGGAAATCTACCGCATTTGAGAAAATTTAGGCTAGCCATTATAATTTGTTTGGGGCTATAAATTGTATGGCGTAATTCATGGCTAGCGATTGATAATTGTTTCCACCGGCCGGCCACAAATGAAATTTGCTCGTTTTTAAGACAAAATGACCATTTATAGCCCCTCAAAATTTTAATAACCCGTGTTTTTCCCCATTGACACGAAATGTCCCTCCGGTCCAAACATATTACATCTAAGAGCCCGAAATGTCTATTTTGTATATTTTTGTATCGTGACAGTCTATTTTATATAATGACAGTCTATTTAGTACATTTTTTGTGTAGTGACAGTATATTGTATATAAATTGTACAATGACAATCTATTTTGTATAATTTTTTATAGTAACAGTCTATTTTGTATATATTTTTTATAGTGACAGTCTATTGTATATTTTTTATATAGTGACAGTCTATTTTGTATACTTTTTGTATAGTGACAGTCTATTTTGTATATATTTTGTATAGTGACAGACTATTTTGTATATATTTTGTATAGTAACAATCTATTGTATATTTTTGTGTAGTGACAGTCTATTTTGTATATTTTTTGTATAGTGACAGTCTATTGTATATAAATTATATAGTGACAGTCTATTTAGTATATATTTTGTATGGTGACAATCTACTTAGTATATTTTTTGTATAGTGACAGTATATTTTGTATATATTTTAATGATGTATATACAAAATTAATTGAAAAGTAAAGTTTGGTCAAAGCCAATATGTCATCATTTCCACATTTTGTATAAAATGAATGAAATTTACGCTTATAGGGGAAAAAAAGCGTGCAAGGATATTATAGCTTGGAAAGGCCAAAGGAGAAGGAGATTATTTAGGAAATAATTGATTGCATTTTATATTGATGTTCTTTCTATTACCCTAAATAAGGATAGTCTCTTATTTTTGGGTGTTTCATTTAATTGGAGACTGCACTATTATGGAATATTTAGATTCAGTTTCCTAATTTGTAGGAAATCTACTGCATTTGAGCAAATTTAGGCTAGCCATTAAAATTTATTTGGGGCTATAAATTGTAGGGGTTTTGACACAGTTACCCACAAAAACAAAACTATTTATCCTTATCTATTCATTTTGTTTTTCTACCCATAAACTAATTACATTTCCTACCCATAATAGGTTTTGTGGGGAATTTTTTCTTTATTCTCCAATTCTTTTTTATTTCTATGCTTATTTTCTTTTTCTTTTTTTTTCCTTTTCTCCTTTTCTTTTTTCTCGTTTTCTTCTTATTTTTTTCTTTTTTCCTTTTCTAGTTTCATTTAACTTCTTTTTTTTATTCTTTTTCTCTTCATAATCAAATTTCATTTACTGTTTTCACTATTTTTTATTATTCTTTTTTTAAATATTATTACTAAAGAAAAATCAAATTGTGTACCAATTAAATGTAGCTAATACAACCAAAAAAATATTAACTAACATATGATACTAGTATAGTATATAGCTATACCAACAGGGTATACAATTGTACGCAATGAGTTAAACAAAAATTAATTCAATTATTAAACTAAAATAATATCAGTTGTCAATAAAAAATTTAAAAAATTCTAAAAGGATCTAATTGTAAGAGTATACCGTTACATCATATAGCATACTATAATTTTTATTTTATTTTTGCATTTTTAATTTGCCCCTCACGCTGGGTAAAAGCTTAAAATAAATTAAAAGAAAAAAGGCAAGTGAATTTACGGGTTATAGTTATGCTATTATAGTATATTGTATACTATTACAGCATATTGTTGCTGGGTTTGTTATTCAATAAATAATAACAAAAGAGGTGTGAATGGAAAATGGTGGAAAAAGAAATGGAGGGATGACCCGCGACCCTGTCCGGTCTAGCCCGTTTTTCTTTTCCGGATTAATTTAAATTCGTTTTAAATTTCCCGCAAAACTTTCCAACAGCCATGGCTGTTCTAAAACAGTGTCACACCTGTTCCAACAGCCATGACTATTCTGAAAAGGTTGCAAACCTCTTCAGAGGGTCACACCTGTTACAACAGTCATGACTATTCTGAAAGGTTGCAAACCTCTTCAGAAACATCACCAAGTTGGCTATAAATAGACCTTCAAATCCCAGAATATTTACTTACGAAATTTTCTTATTATCTTCTTCTTCTTCTGCACTAAAATTCCAGTGTGTTTTGCTGCCATCGAGTGGTTCGCTGATCATCAGCGTTTTTGGTACCAACACTCCGGTGAGTTAAATCGTTCTATCCTGGGAGGATATATTTCATAACCTCGGGTACTTGAGAGGAATACTCTACCTAGCAGACTGGAGATCCCAAGAGTTAGGTTCAAAGAGATCAAACAAAGTTATGAATGACGGTTCAACATTGTCAACTAACTCAACCCATTCTCGTGATGAAGACAATGTTCAAAAACGAGGTAAAGCATTAAGGCTTTTTTGATGAGTCAATAAAGCTTAAAGCTTTTTAATGATTTGCTAAGTCTGGCAGGATATGACCAGATAGTGTGTCTTTAGGATTACACGTTTAGGAATCACCTATGTGAGTGTGAAGTGTAAGCCGCTTCAAGGAGAATGAAAGTAAAGGCCCATTCTCTAAGCACTCATGAAACCAGGCAGTGTTCATGGCTGAAACGAACACAACCGTGAGAACCATAGATGGTTAAGGATTGATTGTGTGACTTATGTTGTCTAGGTATACAACAAAGCTCGACGGTTCAAAGATATCAAATCTACCGATTGACCGAGTATATCCGATATAAGTTCACTACGGAAAGTTCAAAGGGAAACCTACTTATCCAGATGCAATCAATTCTTGTTTGTAAAACACACACACGTCCGTGCATTCCTTTAAGTTTATAGCCATCCCCATTCATGTGGGGGATTGTTGGGTTTGTTATTTAATAAATAATAATAAAAGAGGTGTGAATGAAAAATAGTGGGAAAAGAAATGGAGGGATGACCCGCGACCCGGTCCGGTCTAGCCCATTTTTCTTTCCCGGATTGATTTAAATTCGTTGTAAATTTTTCGCAAAAATTTCCAACAGCCATGGCTGTTCTGAAACAGTGTCACACCTGTTCCAACAGCCATGACTATTCTGAAAAGGTTGCAAACCTCTTCAGAGGGTCACACATGTTCCAACAGTCATGACTATTCTGAAAGGTTGCAAACCTCTTCAGAAACATCACCAAGTTGGCTATAAATAGACCTTCAAATCCCAGAATATTTACTTACGAAATTTTCTGATTATCTTCTTCTTCTTCTGTACTAAAATTCCAGTGTGTTTTGCTGCCATCGAGTGGTTCGGTGATCATCGGCGTTTTTGGTACCAACACTCCGGTGAGTTAAATCGTTCTATCCTCGGAGGATATATTCCATAACCTCGGGTACTTGAGGGGAATAATTTCCTTAAGGACACACTGTGTATTCAGTGGGCTCGATTTGTTCCTTCAACGTTTCAAAAATTATTTTGAAGTTCAAATATTATTTTTCAGAATTGTTTCTACTAACTTTCTGTTTTATTTTTCAGAAAGATTACTGTTTTATTTACTTACAGCAATACAGATAAATAACAATTGTTACAGTATCTTGCATATTATTACAGTATACCATAATAATATATTGTATACTATAATAGTATGTTGTTGCAGTATAACTATATACTCCTATAGTATATTAGTATACTGTAGCGGTACACTGTTTTGTAAACTATAATAGTGTACTGTTGCAGTATAGCTATATACTCATACAGCATATTGTATACCGTAGCGGTATACTGTAGTTGTGTTCTTCTTCGATTTTCAACTGAAAATTTCGATCTCAATCACCTCAAATCAGGTCCAAATGCTATCAAATTTCAGTATGAACTTCCAGAAGGTACTATAAACAATATTTAACAGCACCCACTTTGAATCAAACAAGAAATCTTTAAAAATAAAATTGAGCTTCAAGCCCAGCAATGGTGGATATTCAAATACACACAAAAATAGAAATACTAGAAGGAAAAGGGAACACCGAAACACACGTATCTATATAAAGCCTTGGCATGGCTAAATCCTAGAGGAACTTCTTCAGCCAACAAATACTTTACCCAATGGCTTCTTCAATTCCTGAAGATATTATCTATCATATATTTTCTTGGCTTCCGTCGAGTTTTTAATGCATTTTAGGTGCTGTGAAACGTTTTAGATAAGATTCCAGTGGTTTGAGACAGAACTAGCAGGTAAATAGTTTGGGGAGTATGGGTAGGAGTAGTAAATAGTTTAAGTCTGGGCATTAAAGGGTAAATAGTTTGGAATTAATGGATATAAAGTGAAATTTTCTCTAAATTGTATGCCTTAATTCATGGCTAGCGAATGATAATTGTTTCCACCGGCGGCAAATGAAATTTGCTCTTAGTTTTTGGACCGCTATTCAAATTTTAATCATTGTTTGGAATATAATTAAAAAATATTTACTTTTAAATTTGAAAAACAAAATACTCTGCATAAGACCCTCATTGTTTGGTTGAACTGTAAAAGAATTTATGATATTTGGAAGAAATATGAAGAAAAATATAAAGCAAAATGCTCATATTACATGAATGGATGACGTAGAGAAGATTTCTATTTTGTGGTCATCCACATTCTAATCTCAAGAATGGCAGCAGAGGTGAACAATACAAATAGAGTAACAGCAAAACCAACATTCCAAGCAGTCCCTGCATCTCCTAAATGGATTCCATAGAAAATATTTACTGCTGCCAAAATTATCAGAACCCTTCCCAGTGTGTAATGGTACCAATTCCAATATTTTCTCACTTTCGACTCCTTGCCTGGTCGAGCCAAAAATGCAATAACCTAACCATATAAACAAATAGGCCAGTTTGATGTACTAGAGTCAAATATTTGCTAACAATAATTGAAAGAGGATGATTGTAAATTTAGTCATAGATGAAACAAACCTGCAAGCAACCAAGAACAAGAATGAAGATGCCAAGGGCTTTGTGTCTATCAACATTAACACTAAGACGATCTTCGAGAACAAAACCACATATAATACCCGCAAATCCAAGGAGAAAGCCAAGTGATTGAATGGTGATGTGAGAGTAAAACCATATTGGATCATATTGCCTCAAGTATCTAGCAACCATTGCCCCTATTGGTATCACAATACCCCAGCTAAACATGTTTAGGAGTCCATGACTTCTCCTCAGATTTGCATAAGGGGTCTTTGATTCGCTTTTACCTGTTGCACAACATCAAAAAATTATCAAGACATTTCAACTAATGAATTTATTAAATTAACATGATATCAATGCATATGTCCTGAATTCGAGACACAGTCATCAGCATAAGTAATATATACATTATCCGACTGAAGATGCACATCATTTACGAAAAAGTCTACGATAATTAGATGAGATGTTACATAATAAAATATCAGGCCTACTCCAAATTCTTTTTAGTTTTTTCTCAGTTGGAGTTGAATTGGGAAAAGTCCACCATAAGGAACAGTCGTTGCAGGTGACTTCTTTAGAATAATTGTCACGTTCATGGCCACTTAATTTTTATTTTTTTATACTAGTGAGATTTGTTCAAAGGTTGGTTGTATATCAGATCCATTATCTTAAATAATAATACCTTCTCCAACTTGAACTAAACTTAAAACGTTGACTATTAAAACATTGACATAAACAAGAGTACAACTCATTCTGACATTGAAGCTAGAGTAGAGTTGCAATTCAATGAATGTGAGTTATAGAAACTAGAATTTGGAGTTTAGTGATTTTGGATTCTAGAAAAGGCAGCTTACTCGATTCTAGATAAGTTATATACGTGAATTTTGTAACACAAACACAAAGTTGGGGCTAAAATTACTGGATTCTAATGGTTGTATATCTACTCTAACATTATTTTAGTGCAGGATTAGAATACCACAAAAGGGCTGCTTTGTATCCCAAACCTTTTAATAGAGAAGTGGGAAAACTTTGCTCTCCCTTCTCTCTCTAACGGTAGTGTTTAGGTCAATTTGTACATACCTGAACTAATTTAATTTGCTACGTATTTGCTATTTTCACATATACACGTATAGTTTTACTAATCAAGATTTAGTCAAGTCATCTAAGATTTTGTCTCTATTGAAATTTGCGCTATAATTTTTACCGATTTCACCGTTAATCAAAATATTCTCGATGCTCTAAGTCTATATTAATCAAAATATACTATGTGGAAGGCATGTTGAAGATAGATAATAATCGTATTATTATACATAGTAGTTAGTGGTAGTTGATAAAGTAGTTGGTCACCGGCGATAAAAAGCCAAAAGGCTTTCATCACTTGCCGCGTAGACCCCTACCCACCCCCTTGGTATGGACTTTTTAATAAACACATAAATTAACCAATTACGAACTACAGTATTTGTTTCAACAATTTTCAAACTAAATGGGATAAAATTAATTCAGCTCCAGGATACAATAATAATAATAATAATCGCCGGTGGAATTAAAAAAGAAAAATGTATTGAGTTGATAATAAAAGAAGAGTAACTAACCAGAGGTATAATCGAGGAAGGTGGAGGTATGTTCCCGATGTTGGGACAACTGGTAGTTGACGGGGGAAGGCAGCCGTCCATTAGGGCCAAGTGAGTAAATTAAGCGATTACTGGGCATTTCAGTGTTCAATTGAAAAACCATATAAATCCTTGAATTTTCAGCTATAATAGAGGATGTCACATTCATAAGTTGAAGATTTCCCTGATCGGGCACAACTTGCTCCGGCGATTGTCCGCCCAGAAAATATCTTTTCACGGTGGAAGATCCGTCGGTGCTCACCCAACCTACAATCGCACTGGACCCCACCATTTTCCCGTCTGGTGAAAATCCCATCCCTATGAATGAATTGGAATTGGGTGCTGATAGTACAAAGCTCCATACTTTTGTATCCGTTTGCATATACTAAATAAATAATCACGAAAAGTGTTACTCCTACTATATAAGAAAATTATAAAAAGTAAATAAATGGAGAAAGGTGTTTGTTAAAAAGACTTACTCTTAGGATATAGTTTTGTGCAGCCCATACTGAAACACAATGAAAAGAAGAAGTATCAAAGAGAGGTTTGTTTTTGAGGTTAAGATTGGAATTACATGAATCTGTCACTTGACAATCTACTTTGGAACTCAATATTTGGACGAAGAAAAACAAGGCAAAAATACTAAAACATGTCTTCATCTCTAGCTTCTCTCTTTTTGTGTGTGTGTGCGTTTTCCTCTGTTTGATAGAAAAGCAATGATTTGAAGTAGTTGACCTAGTTGATTTGTTTATGGGGGGGGGGGGGGTTCGGTAGTGGAGTATTATAATGTTCGGAGACTTAATTAATTCATTTGGTAATAACACTCGTATGAAGACTAACTCACCTCTGTTTTATTTTAAGAAAGAAAATTAGTGTGATGATTGATTGAATTGTGAATTTCTGCATTACTGTATTTGGCTGGCGTCTCTATTCTATGGCCTACCATTGATTACAATCTAACTTCTATTTTATATCTTTTTCTACCTGTTATTAATCAATAGGTAATGTAAGAAGTTTTTACATGTTGTACATATGTTATACACCTGAAATTTAAAGACAAATTCATAATATCCAAAGGATGCCAATAGGCAAAAATAATACAAGTCAAACTTTTCTAAAACAGCATTTCTCTATAAAAGCCAACTAAAGGAAAATTGGCAAATAAAGAGCAATGGGTCATCCTGAAAGATATCTTAGCTTCGTAACTTTTATGTGTGCCCTTTCTTTTAGTAACCTCTTTTTTCAACAAAAAAAAAAAAGAAGAGAGAGAGATTACCTTCATTTTCTTGTGACTCTGTCAATCGTTTGAGTTGCTTCCGTTCATTGAGTTACCAGTTATACCAAAATGTTTAAGGGAAAACAATGTAGAGGAATTAGTATTACGTGCTATTTTTTGTTTTTAAAAAAAATGCTACTGTTCTGTATCAGCCAATAATAGCAGTCAATCTTTCACCCAAAAATGGACTGTTCAACAACCTCATCAAAATTAGTTAATTGGATATTCGTCTCTCTTTAGCAACGGCCAAATGTGAGTTGTATTTACTGCATTTATTTAATTTTATTCCCAACTATCTTTTCTTGTTTAGGTTCATTTATACGACTTATTTTCTTGGACGTCACAAATTCGTTTTTGACTTTACCCGTAACTGAAATTAGGGACCATCACATTGGTAAACATCAAGAATACGAAATGAAAGAGACTTTCTAGAACCCAGTCGGATTCCATTTCGCAAAGTTGGTTTTACATCTGATAGATGCAATCAAATTTTATTGTTTTAAATTACTTGTATTTGATTTTGATCGCTTCCAAAACCTGCAGGTTTAAGATTTGGCAAAAATATTACCAAGATTTTAATATATGTTTTAGACGCTTTTATGTGATTAGAAATTACGGGAAAGAATTGACTAAACATGCTTATGTCTAAATACACTTATTTTGTAACAGTTGAAAAAAAAAAAACGACTTCAACTATATGAGCTAAAACAAAGGGAAAACAGGGGGAAAAGGGTGGGGGCAAGTTTCATAAGCCAAAGGAGAAAAAGGCTTATGCAGCAAAATAATGCAGATATGTAGAACTGGTTTCAGCTCTCCACCCACTTCTTTGTTTCTTGAATGTTTTTCTTGCTCCCCTCATAGGGTTGGTACAAGGGTATTCTTTGGCTGGTCATTCCCACCTACAATTCACCCATATTTTACTTTGTAAAGCCATTGGGAAAACCACTGAGACCCTAACTGCCTAAACTTCTTGTATAGGATCCTAATATTTCACTAAATTAATACATTGATTTCATGTACAAGAAAGTTGATTTTCGTTGGTGAGAAGTTATTTCCGCGAAGAAATGTTGTGTTGGCCTGCTGAAGACACTGCTCCATTGCTTACAGAATGATGATGATGATGATCTGCTCTTACCCTCCGATAGAAAAGTACATAAGCAGCAGCGGACTTCACATCTTCTTCATTAATTGGTGATATGTGGCTATCATCAAAGTTGTACCATCTATTTTCATCAAGAAGCTGGCATGACGGGAAAGACTAGCGTATTAGCATATGTACATTAGTTATTAGATATTGCAAAAGGAGAGCAAATTATACTTGAGATGCTGATGCGGTACCAGGAGGCCTGTTAATGTGGCAGGATAGATTTGTAATAATTGAACATGGAAAGGGATAAATGAGATGAAAGAAAGCCTTCAATAAGACAATTTAACCAACTTTAACATTCAATAGGACTGTATCCACGAGGACAATTTTGAAGATTTGATTACTAATTGCTCTGTTACTCATTCAAAACTTAGACTAATACTCTATGTCATGCAACAAGAGAACGCTAGCTAAAACTTCAATGAACTCAAGACAGCATTAGAGGCAATTACTCACCTTGATATGTGCGGTGTAGTGCCCACTTCCCATCCCACCATAGTGATTTGTTAGCGCATACAGTTCATAGAGCTGACGTCGAGAGTTGTTCTTGTTAGCCACGTATTTTGTCAAGTCAAAATCATGAATAGGAAAATTTACAAAAGTTTCCAGCTTATGCTTCATGGACCGGCTGTAGGAAAACCTCTTCAGGTGGATAACAAGCACTTCAGGAAGCCTCCAAAGATCCAACTTCTTACTTGCTTGTCTTCGCTCTTTGCATGTAGGACAATACCTTTAACATATATCCGCAAAACATGATATAAGCAATCACTTAAAAAGGCAAAAGCTAACAAAGCTATCATGAGGAATGGTATGTGCAGACATAAGGCATATAATGAGCAAATAGTTGTCCTTTTTTCGTGTAAAATTCTGGCAATAAGAGCAATGAGAACAGGAGGAAACTAACCACATATCCTCAGGGACCAATGGCTCTTCACGTAAAAAGGCTTCCAAGCAACTGTACAATGAAAGAGGTTCAGTACGGGCTTTCTTTGTAGCAGGCCCATATTTTGTGACTTCAGGCAAATTCTCTATGTAACGAGTATCATAATTTTCCAAAAGCTTCTGAGACCAATCAACAAATACAAGTATCGACATTGACGATGAGGACAATTTCACTGATTTATCTTCTCCTACAGTTAGGTCAATGCATGCATTATTCTCATCAAGCAACTGCATAGGTAGTTTCTCCAAGTTCGCCAGTTTTGAGCTAGACATATCCTTCTGTCTCGGATCATCGTTCGGTAGACTGGAGTCCATACAGGCTTCACTAGCAGCGGCAAGACGGGATGCGTTGGCTGCTGATGATGATGTCTTCGAGCGAGAAACACAGTTAAATCCTGGATTTTCTGATCTTAGCATTGGCGAGAGCATTCTGTGAACTATCAACTGTATATCTCCCCTTGTGATGACATCATCACAAGAGATTGGTGAAACAAGAGGTGTCCCATAAGGCTTCCACCCAACACTACTTTGAGAGATACCAATTTCCCTACAAAGAAAAGCGCAGCATTAGAAGACAGAGGATTGCATATATGCTCTCTTACTAAAATAGCATTTTGAATACCAAGGAAACTTCAACAAGTGCCTTGAAGAGATGTAATGAGATACTGAAGAAAACAGGAAGTGCATATTAGACCTAAAAGTGCTGCAGACTACTTTTTTCCAAAAGCTTATGGCCCTAGACAAAGTTTAGAATACAACAATGGATTATCACTTTCAAAGATGATAACTCTGCAACTAGCTGCTCCAAGGAAAGTAGTAGGTTAGCATTGTACCCACTTTTTATCTCTCTTAAACACCCTTAATAATACCTGCCAGCTAATTAAAATAGAGACTTCTTGGTCTTTCGAATAAATTCATCAATTCTTCTATGAAAATCCTGACTAATGTCTCCAATTCACTCTCTGTAGAAAAATTCTGGCAGGAATCATTAGCTCAATTTTCTATCCAATTTTCCATTATTAACTGAAGATATCTCTTCAATCATTGAGCACAAGAAATATCAAAATATAATAAAATCTTCAATTTTCCAATACTTGATTTCTCATTGTTTTGGATTTTTGCTAAACCCAGCAACACACAGTGTCAAGATTAGCAAGAACAAAGGCGTCGGTCGACTTCCGGTCAGAGTGGAGGACGCTTTGAAAGAACATTGCTTTTCGCAAAGCTCATTAGACCATGGGAAGAAACTTCTGTGTTTTGATTCTTTTTCTTTTTCCAATTGGATTTCAATTTCTTTTTCTTTTCTTTTTTGTGAATTTCATTTGAGTTAAAGTTGCAGTGAACTTCAATATAGGTCTGCAAAGGGAAGAAGGGGGGAGGGAACAACGGGAAGGGGATCCGGTGGGGAGGGAGAAGTGAGGTTTAGTTCTTGAGATGGAAGACAAAAATAGTCATTTTACTAATGTGTTAGCAATGTATAATTAGGGGTATTTAAGAGAAACAAAAAATGGGTACAATGCTAAATAACTATAGCCATGTAGGTGTGTGTGTGTGTGTGTGTGTATATATATATATATATATATATATATGCAGATGAAGAATATTGGACAGCACTCGATCAATTAAATCAGGAGGCAACACATTAACTGCCTATCTCTAGTGGTGCAAACAAGGTACACATTATGCATACCGTTCTTCCCTACGGTGTATCAGTTGAAGAAACTTCGAGTTCTTTGCTAATTTTGGAATCTTGTAGGCCGCAAGGTGATCATCATCTTTGATAGAAGACAAAGATATTAGAGGATCTTCCAGAAAACGATGAATCAAATGGCCGCGTATCTACGAGCAGCACACGAATCAGGTGAGACCCAATTAAACATCAAGTATTTCATGCTTAAAAGGTAACTTGAGTAATCAGGGACTAACCTCAGCAAGCAAAAGTTTCTCAGTGTGCTTTAAGGAACAAGAATTACCAAGTGCCTGAATCAAGTCCCTGCAACGTCCCTGCTTCGGCACTGTAACAGTGCAAGCAGCTGGAAGTGCACTTCCATCACAAGTGAAAATTGTTACTGTCATACTTCGTGTTGTGGCAGATTGAAGTGGCAAAGAAAGATACATGAATGGATCAAATGTTACTGAGACTTTATTACACACGGGACACACTAGAGTTGACTTGTATTGGCCCTGTAAAAGAGAAAGGGCAGATAAATTCCATAGCCATGGATGTATAAAGAAAATAACGTTCTTATTTTGTTTGTTTTTGTTTCTTTCTCTTTCTTTTTGGTTTAGTAAGTAAATACAAGTAGCACTGAAGCAACTAACAGTTTTTACATGTCAGACTCTAAAAGGGAAGAGAGTGGATATGTTGTTGAATGATAATCAAA